TTTGGGTTGGTATCTTGTCAGTGTTTGCATCATTTTAATAATCTTATAGTCTTTTCTCCTCCTGGACTTCTAATCTTCTACATTGTTCTCCTGTTCGTTAGTGCATTGTGAGCTACTTGCACTGTTATTTGGAGAAGATATTTTAATACCGCTTATGTAGACACTCACATTGTATTAAAAAATTTACTCTTCTTTATTTCCTACTTGTTGTCTACTTCATTTATCTAATAGATCTCATGCTCCTAATTTTTCATTAAAAAAATCTAGTTATCTTCAGTTGCGATATTGAGCAATACCATTACAATTGATTGGATGTAAGTCAATCTTCATTAAAAGAATTTGTTTGAACGTGTATGGAACAGCCAATTGGTAATGCACAACAAATTGTCCATGGAAACTCTCTCTTGCGTGCAATCATAGGTCAGGTAAGTTGCCCAACTGGAGCCATCATGGGTACATCCTTGGAATTAGGGGTGTTTCGCGAATCGAGCCGCTCGCGAGCCGATCGCGAGCGGCTCGAATACGAGCTCGACTCGAGCTCGTCAATATCGAGTTCGAGTCGAGCTCGAGCCAATTAAATCGATTTCGAGCTCGAGCTCGAGCTCAAAAACATTAAACTCGTTGGCTCGCGAGCTCAATTATATTTTTATTTTTTATTTTTTATTTTTTATTTAATAGTAAAATTACATATATATCCCTAATATTTTATTATTTGTTAAAAAAATTATTATTTTATTCATTTTTAAAAATAAATATTTATTTTTTATTTTTTTAAAAATAAAATAATTATAATTATTTTTTTATTTTTTAAGCTCGAGCTCGAGCTCGAGCTCGACTCGAATTTGACTCGAGCTCGAGCTCGAGCTTGATATTTTGAGCTCGTCGAGCTCGAGCTCGAGCTCGAGCTTCACAAAATTAACTCGAGCTTGGCTCGTTTAGCCAAAGCTCGGCTCGAGCTCGGCTCGTTTGCACCCCTACTTGGAATAATGATAAAATGCGATAAAAACGTACACCAGTCTATCTCTTTCCTATTTCATCCACAATCGCAAAATCATTCAAATATGCTAGTGTTTGTACATTAGCATCCACTCCTGCATGTCCCTTGCCAGCACAAGTTGGATTAGTTAGTAAAATTGTGTCACCTCCTTATAAAAAATCGTATGTTTGAATTCTGCTATCTATATGATGATAGTAATGGTGAACAATTGTGTTTGGACAGGAGATTATTTGTTCAAATATATTTGCTTACATCACCATTACAATTTCTAATACATCTTTTTATCTTCTCAATTATCTTTTTATTTCACATACATCACATCACAAAAAGTGCTACTGTAAAAATATTTCAAATAATTTACAATCCAAACACAATATTGTGTAAGAACTCCTATAAATGGCTTATGATCTTGTAGACTTACCCTTATTCATGGTCATGATTGGAGTTGAATTCATTCAAAATTTTTATTATTAAAAAAAAAAATTTTACATGCCGCATGTGCCAGTTGGTTAGACACGCAGGATGCACTGAACACCCATATGTATGTACACCAAAAAAAATATACCTCTCGTAAGTGTAGGCTAACTTCTACTTATATAAATAAATAAATATATATATATATTAAAATATGTAAATTAATGTATACTTAGTGCAATCATTTTTGCTTAGTAATCCCCTCATACGTCCTTTCCCTAATACTAGTTTTAGTATTGTTTTTATTACTCTGAAAATAATTAGTGGTATATTTATTGACAAAGATGTACATTAAATGTGAGCTTGGCAATGTAGGACAATCACAGAAGAAATATGAACATTATTTTAGGATAGAAGGATTAACTATTTATTGCTTTAGTATTATAATAATTTCCTCAGTCCCATTTTAATAGTCATGTTTTTCATTTTCGTCTATCCCAAATTATAATCTATTTTTTAATTGAAAAAAATAATTAATTTTTAAATTTTTAAAATACTCTTATTTAACGTATTTTGTTATCAGTGAGTCTAACCTATCCTATTCAATAATTGCTCTAATTCATGTCTTAAATGATATAACTTCTATCAATATTATTGTTATATTTAATAGAAAAAATCGTTCAAAACGTCCCTCACATTTTATAAAATAACTTTTTTCATCCCTCACATTATTATTATATTTGTAGATGCAATTTGGCCCACAGTTGGCAAAAGCTCCCTCGTTTAGGCCCCGGAGCAGGGGACCTGAAGTCTCCACCAACACAAGAAGACAAAAGAGTCTTGCAGGTTGCAACAAGAAAAGAACAAGAGAGTCTGGCCCACAATATTTGACTAAGTTTAATCAAGATACAAATCTGGTCTCAGAGGGTATGGAAGATGCAACAATCATGAAGATAAAATATTTCTTGATACATTTTTTAATGTTTTTTAATTATATATATATATATATATTAAATCGTAACAGGATACCGTATATATTTTATAAAAAATAGTTTGTACTGAGAACCATATATGTTTCTACTGAACGATATTATATATTCTTCTAAATATCGAATCCTCACAGTGGTTGACATGAAAATGATACAAAATACTTAGAGTATAAAAAACTACAACTGGCTCTGTTTGAAATACGTGTGTACTCTTGTTGAAGTATTTAACAAAGTTGGTTTCAAAAATATGATTTTCCTATTTTTGTAGCCTGAAGCCACCAAATAAGCGTGCCCGCACCCAAAGATATGTTATCTAATTGCTGTCCTCCTGGACGGGTAGTCCATCATACAAACAATTCGTTTTGACAAGAGAATCACAGTTAAAAGTCCATCATATTTCTCAATTGGTAGGATAATTTGTCTGGTGAGTTTGTGTATGGATTTTTAGCAAATGTGACCTGGAGTTTTATGAAGAATTTGGATGGTCAATTTTTTTTAAATAATATTTCGCTTGCATTATAAATATATTTTTTAATTCACTTTTTTATATTTTTAATTACTTTTTATCTCATATACATCGCATCATAAAAAATATTATAATAATTATTTCAAATAATATTATAAATAATACTCTGTTCAAACAATTGTTACCTTAATATTGTCCGCGGAAAGGATAATGAGTTGGCATTGGCAAGATAATGATGGTATTGATGAAAAAATAGTTCGAGCTACTAATATAATATGAGCAGTTTTATCTGTAGCGTTTTCATTCTGGTAAAATTTTAACCATTTACAGTTTTTGTAGGTATCGAAAATGAACGGCAAGTATTATGAACCATTTACTGCATTTGCCTCGCATTGGTATCGTTTCTCTGCGGACTAAAAAATGCCCATTACTTGGAAACGCACATTGGCCGAAAGCAGACAAAAGCGGACTCCATTAGTCAGCGGAAAAGGGCCGCTAAAGCATCCTCGGGCCCAGCCAGGAAAATATTCTTGCCGTCAATATTTGACTATTTTCTGATCATGAGAAAGTTGTAAACGTTGAACACGGTACAAATTTGATTTCAGAGAGTGAATAGAAGATACAATAATGGAGATATCCTACAGTAGTTGCTTCGAGTTCGCTCTAGACTATCTTCGCGGATTGGGTTTTACCGCCACAGGGTACGGTGATCTAATCTCGAATCTGAAGATGGGGGTGAGACTATTACAAAGCTTTGATCTGTATCTGACAAAGTGTAGGAGGAGGAGGAACCATGAAACCTGTTTGGAACAAGATGAGGAGGAGAAGGATGTTACGTCCTCCAGAATTCAAGATCTGATTATCAAGAGAATGCAAGATCTTGAATTTGTTTGCAGTGAATGCTTGATTCATTCTCGATCGCTTAATTCGACTCGTGTTAAAAGTGAGCTCACCATTTTCCTGGAAGCAATCAAGTTGTTTTTCGAAACAGATATCAACGAATCGTGCATCAACTATCTGCTGGACTGTTACTGGCTGCGAGATCCAGAGCTAGTTATTGATTTCATCGATTCGGTTGCAAAGTCTCTGGCGGAAATGATTGGCTCCTATTTCGAACGCCTTGTAAAGAAGCTAATGTTCTTGAAGAGTTTCATTCGCTTTGTGATGCTTCGTGGTGTCGAGGATCAGCAATTGATACATCTCTTGATTCACACTGAAGTGGTGGCTATCAATTCATTACACCTGTTTTCTATATGGTGGTTTAACAAAGTCACAAATAATGATGAAGAATGCTTGGAAATGGAACTTCAAATTTCTCAACTAATGCATGAGAAGATTAATCCCGGTGATCCCCAGGTCGGAGAAACTTACATCCATGTCTTGACTGCTGCAAAGTTATCAAGATCATTAAACATTTCAGATCCGGAGAAGAATAAGCATCTAGTAGCTGACTTTATGGATCGTCTCGTTCACAATATTATGGAGCTGCTGAGATCTTGTACCAATATTGTGGTTCCGATTATGAATCAAATGCTAAAATTCCTTGAGGGGCTAAGATTCCTGACAATCCTTCTCAAACATCAGGAGAAGTTCAAAGAGCTATGCCATGAAATGAAGAATCTTATTGAAGCTGTGGCCTGTGATGCAGCGGTTGTAATTTTCTCTCTTTCTTTGAATCAAATCAAAGAAGTCTTGGCCAAGGAAACCGATCTTGTTCTTTTTCATTGGCTTAGAGTGCTCAAGTTTATTAGGGCAGAAGTTACCGATCCAGTAACATCATTCTTGCCATTTGGTTTTCCTAGGACCAATGAGTTGGGCTCTATGGATTTTCTCCTTGAAAATCTGAAGGAACTAGAAAGTTGTAATGAGGCTGATGATTCAATTGCATTCCCAAAAGATCAAATCCGCAGAGTCCTAGAAGATCTCGTATTCTTAAGGTCTTTCCTTGTCAAGATAGCAGACCAGCGCAACTGGAATGGAAAGCTCCAAGCTTTTTGGAGTCGTGTTATGGAGGTTGCGTACAGGGCAGAGTTTGTCATCGACTATCGTGGTTGGTGATAAACATGAATATTTGGAAAGAGTTGCCAGCGATATCCAGCTTTTGAGGACTGAAGCCCTTGAAACCTATGATAGCATGGGGCATGACTGTGGAACTCAGAGAACTAACCAGAAATCTTTCCGCATGGACTCAAAACGTAGCATTCCAGTGTTGAACGAAGTTCTGGTGGACCTTGATCATGAGGTAAAGACAATTATTCATAGGCTTACCAGGGGTTCAAAGCTATTGGATTTTGTTTCAATTGTGGGTATGGCTGGACTTGGTAAGACAACATTGGCCAATAGAGTTTGCAATGATCCATTAATTATGAGCCACTTTCATATCCTTGCTCGGTGTACTGTTTCCCAAGTGTATAGCATGCATAGTTTGTTAGTTCAGCTTTTATGTAGTATCTCTTCTAGGAGTCCTGATGAATATCTTGAGCTGGATGAAAATGATTTGGCTCTCAAGTTGTACAAACTTTTAAAGAGAAACAGGTATCTCATTTTTTTGGATGATGTGTGGGAGATTAAGGCATGGAATTTGCTGGAGAGATCATTGCCCGATGATGTTAATGGAAGTAGGATTCTCTTCACCAGCAGAATTCAATTGCAATTCAAACCTGATAGCAAGGCTCACCATCTCCGCCACCTTACTGACGAAGAGAGTTGGAAATTGCTGCAGAGAAAGGTATTTGGCAAAGAAGGTTTTCCTCCAACACTAGGTAAAGTTGGACCTCAAATAGCAAACTTATGTAGGGGCTTACCTCTCACAGTTGTCCTTGTTGCTGGAATTCTTACTAATACTGCAGAAGACTGCTGGGAAGAAGTTGCAAAGAGTCTAACTTCCAATATTGTCCTTGATGATGAATATTGCATGACGACGCTTGAGTTGAGTTACAGTCATTTACTGGATGATTTGAAGGCATACCTTCTTTACTTTGGTGCATTTAAAGAAGATGAAGATGTTCCTATCCGAAGGTTGTTATGGCTCTGGATCTCTGAAGGCTTCGTGCGGAAGACTGAAGAAAAGAGTTTAGAGGATGTGGCAGATGACTATTTGAAGGATCTGGTTGATAGAAGTTTAGTTATGGTTTCTGAACAAAGAACCATGGGTGGTGCCAAAACCTGCCAACTTCATGATTTGGTAAATGAGTTTTGTGTGAAAAAAGCCAAAGAAGAAAACTTTCTACATGTTTTGCATGGTCGGAATGATCGTTTTATTCTTACTGGCCCAAGCAACCCCTTCCGAGTTTGTGATCAAAATGCCGGGAATTTGATGATTCGGGAGTTAATGCCAGAATTTCCCAATGTACGCAGTTTGTTATTGTTTAATAAGGATGATTTAGGGTTTTGGTTACCTAAACTTCTAAGAGTGTTGGATTTGGGGGAATTGGAGTTTGGTGCATATTTTCCTATGGAAGTACTTTTGCTTGCTCACTTGAGATACTTGGCTCTTCGTACTATCGCAGTAAAATTCATCCCAGCTGCAATAGCTAACCTCTCAAGGTTACAAACTTTTCTGGTACGAGGAAATAGCTTTGATTGTTTGTTACCCAAGACTATCTGGAACATTAAGACATTGAGGCATCTATGGACTACATATCGCAATGATGGTTTTATTTTTCCTGTTGAAAATCTTGAAGTATCCCCAGGTTTAGATCATTTAGATACCTTAAGCCTTGCCATTGATCCCTCCTCTCAAAGCTTGCAAAAGATACTGACAAAGTTACCAAACATCCGCAGGCTAAGATGTAAGATGACGGAATCAAGAGAAGAAGCTACCAGAATTGGCAACGGGATTCTTGGGTTTGACTGTTTGAGTCAACTAGAGTCACTTACTCTGGTTTACTTTGACAGATATGGATTTAAATTCCCATTGAATTTGAAGAAGTTGACACTCCTAGCGACTGATCCGCTATGGAGTGAAATCTCAACAATTGGAAAGTTGCCCAAACTTGAAGTGCTTAAATTACTCGGTAGCTCCGTCGTTGGGGAAGAATGGGAAATGACAGAAGGGGAGTTCCCTAAGCTCCGAGTCTTGAAATTGTCACAATTGTGGGACTTTCGCAGCTGGACTGCATCTTCTGATAATTTTCCCCGTCTTGAGAAATTGGTTGTCCGCTGGTGTAGAGAGTTGGAAGAGGTGCCTTCTTGTTTAGGGGAATGTCCGACTCTTGAAATGATTGAGGTGACAGGGTGTCGTGAGTCTGTTGCAAATTCAGTGAAGCAAATTCAACAAGAACAGAGAGATATGGGAAATGAGGCTCTAAAGATCTTAATTGAAGGTTGTGTTGATGCGCGGAGTTCCAGCGAAGAAGAAGAAGAATCAGAGTGTGGTTCCTCAGAAACAGAGCCAATCTCCTCAGAAGAAGAATCAGAGTCCAGCGAAGAAGAAGAAGAATCAGAGTCCAGTTCCTCAGAAACAGAGTCAATCTCCTTTCCACCAAAAAAAAAACAAAAAAAAGAGTCAATCTCCTCACAAGGTGCCTTCTTGTTTAGGAGAATGTCCGACTCTTGAAATGATTGAGGTGAGAGGGTGTCGTGAGTCTGTTGCAAGTTCAGTAAATCAAATTCAACAAGAACAGATAGATATGGGAAATGAGGTTCTAAAGATCTTAATTGAAGATCCATGGAGTTCCAGCGAAGAAGAAGAATATGGAGTTCTAGCGAAGAAGAAGAAGAAGACCAGTCAAGTTCCTCAGAAACAGAGTCAATCTCCTCACAAGGAGTCTAATGTTTCATGAAAGCAATTTCTGGAGCTTCCTTTTTTTTTTGTCCCTTTTTGTTTGACTTGATGCATCCAGCCATAAAATTTCAATTGATTTTTTTTTTTAAATTCTGCTACAGATTGATATGATGCTTGTAGTTAGCTAAGCACAAGTCTACATGCAAGATACACTTTTCCTTCTTTGTATTTCATTCAGAGTGGTACAGAAACTTTTAAATCGCTTCTATTTTTCCTCAACAAAGAACCATACACTCAATTAATTAATATGTTAAAACATCCTCTCTTTTTTGCAACATATTAAGAAGAGACAAGAAAAAAGGAAAAAAAACTTGGGTTATGTTGCTTTTTACCTTTGGAAGTATTGTATATTAAAGAAGTTACATATTAAGTGGGAAGGAGTGTTTAAATTAGGGATTTGAACTTATTTTCATTTCTCACAATGCACATTTGTCAGATTAATTGAAACTGAAAAAGATCATGTTCAAATCCCTTAAATTAGTTGGTGGTTGTCCTCCTACATTTTCTTGAATAATAGTTTGCCAAAGAAATCGCGCCTGCCAAAATTCTTTAATATTACATGGTGCTTTTCCTTTTTGTATAGAATGTTTCCTTCCATCTTGCTCTTTTTTTGTGGTGGTGCCGCATTTCTTACCAGTTTTGCTCTTTTTCCCTTCTTTTTCCTCTTTTTTTTTTCCAAACACTTTGTTGCTATTGAATTGTGTACCATATTGTTACTTTTATTATTATATTATGATTATTACTGTTATTTACCTTTCATAGGTAGTAATAATTGTTGCACTGCTACTAGAGTTCTGACCTTTTTATGTAATTGTAAATAGTAAATGATGATACAATTGTGGTGCTATTGGAATACTTGTTGCTTTTGAAATGTTTTTTTTTTTGGTATGAATTACAATATTAGCCTGTAACTTACAAATTGGATATGGATAGGATCCTATTTTTCCCCTTGCTAGACGGGGTTGTTATTCTTCCTTTTCTTTTATACCTTTTTCTTTTTTTATATACAGTTGATATCTTTTTCTATTTTTTGTGGGGTTTTAGTCTTTCTCTTTTTCGTTATTTGAATTCTATTGCTTATGTAATTATAATCGTAAAAGACATTCTTTTTTAGTGCGGAATTTTTTGTACATGTTTATTCTTTTTATTGTGTGATAAAATATACAATTGGGTTACTATATTGTTTACTACTCTTTTCTAATAATAGATAAAGCAAAAAAAAATCATCCTAAATTTTTTACCACCTATTTTACTGCATCTTTATCATGATTATTTGTTTAAATTGTTTACTGCATCTGTATCATGATTATTGTTTACTGTTTTTTTCTAATAATAGATTAAGAAAAAAAATCATCCTAGATTTTTTACTACCTATTTTACTACATCTTTATCATGATTATTTGTTTAAATTGTAATTTTTATGATCTTTTTTATAATAAAATATATAATTGTATTATTTAGTTATTTTCTTTCTATTTTTAATAATAAGTTAGAGAAAAAATTATTCACAAATTTTTTACCCACTTTGCAACAAGTTTGTATTAATTTTTGTGCCCTGAGTCTTATTAAGGCCTTCTCTTTTTCAAATTAAAGAAAAGAAATAAGCTTGATATATGATTGTGGATAAGCTTGGTGTATGATTGTAGTGCTGCTGCAATCCTTATTACTATTTTATTAAGAGGCTTTTCAGGTATAAATAAATGACATAGAGATGCAATCATTCTTTGAGGCCTTGATTTAGTAGTTAAAATTAAGGTTATAGAAATTAGAGACTCTGAATATAAATCTCCTTATCCCTGATTTGCCTTTTAAGTTCCACCTACCCTCTGCTAGGAAAATAATTGAAAAAAAAATAGATATAAGTGCAATCTATTTTTTTACCTCTTGGATGGAGTTGTTATTTTTTAAACAATTCATAACCTTTTCTCTTTCTTTTTTGTGGGGGTTTATTCTCCTTTGCTATTTCAACGCTATAGATATGATTTCAATGCATAATAATAATCATAGAATATTTTATTTATTGCCAATATTTTTTATGAGTTTATTGTCTTTTTATAATAAAATATACAATTGTGTTACTATGTTGTTTTATGCTCTTTTTTCCCCAAATAACAAATTAGAAAAAATATCCCCATAAATAATCTCTATAAAATATATTAGTTTTAAGAGGTCTTTTATGTATTACTTTTAAGAGGCCTTTCATGTATAAATAAATGATGGAATTCGCATGTGTCATAAATTAGGTCTAGGTGCAATTGGTTGAGGAGATCTTAATTTAGTAGCTAATGTTGAGACCTCAAAAATTAGAAATCTTAAAAGTCTCAAATATCCATGACATACATATGAGGGATATTTTACCATATTTGTATCTCACATCCAATCATTAAAGTTAATTTGAGGAAAAATATTTTTGACAATAGAATTATTTTGAATTTAGTTAACAAGTTGAGATTTTTTAAACAGTAAAAGTGAAATATTTAGGGAACTTAGTTGTTTATTTTCCCATAATTAAAAATTGCTATATTTTAGCAATTGTTGCCATTGACTTTTCATTCTGTAGAATAGTTTTTATCAATGCAAAATTAGTTTTATTAACAATAATTGAAGTTCCATTGATCCGAGGATTGGCATTCTATTGCTATTATTTTATATGTAAATATTTAGCCTAAGTAATAAGTAATAGCGACTTAAAAAAAGGAAATTGGTGCTTAATTGATTTTGGTGTAAAATATTAGTATACAATTAACTAGAGTTTGAAATGGAATTAAATTTATTTAGTATTTTACTGCTAACAACTTTGATCCCATTTAATGGTTAAAGAAAAATAAAAGAGACGTAGAGATTGGAATTGGTTCCTTAGTGTAAAAAAAGAAAGTTCTTTTAAAGTAATGTTGTGTGAAATTCTGGATGCATATGAAATTAGAAATGTGATAACTTTTGATATGACACATTTTTGTTATATATTTTATAATTAATTCCCTCGCATTATTCTGTCAAATATGTATTAATTGGCGAATTTTACTCACTTTTAAAATTTTGTATTTATTGCAGGAAATGGAACAAAATACCATAAAATGGTGCCAATTTGACGGTAGTTAGCAGAAGGGTTTGAGTGGTAACAGGAGACACGAGACCAATTGAAGACAAAACTGAAGATTGTTTCCTTATCTAATAATGGAAGTACAGCGGATTAGTAGCAGTAGGACTGATAGAACGCTAATTTAGCATTAATTTTGTTATAATTTCCTTTTATTATTGGATTGGATATTGCATTAATGGACATATTTTGTTTGAATTTTATGTTTAGGGGATGTTTATCCAATTGGAGAAGGAAAGTGCAGAAATAGCAGATTTTAGAAGATTTTCCTCCAAGTAAGTGTGGACGCGTGAGAAGACATCAATCAAGTCCAGAGTGTGCGGGATTCTATGCAGGGCAGTATCCTAATTCAAGTGGGAGTCGTCATCATAACTGGAAGATGATATTATCTACCAAGTTTCTAATTAGTAATTGGGTTGGTTTAGGAGACTTTTAAGCGCTTTGTTTTGCTATCTTTTAGGAAGTTAGTCTTCCTATGGTAGGAGATTTCTTTGGAATCAATCACTACGGATTGTGAGGGAGGAAGTTCAATGTGTTTTTAGAAAGCAAATAAGAGGAAAGGAAGCCAGATCCCGCGGGATGACTACTGGGCTAGGGAGCTCACGTGATTGCTACTTGGCCAGGGTTCCCGTTTGATTAGGACTTCGGCCAGCAACAATCTCGCAGGATTTTTTGAGTAGTTTCGGCTGCAAGGAAAGAAAAGAGGGAGTTGGCTACATACATATATATTAGGAGACGGCCGCGGGGAGAGCATATTTTTCCTTTCTTTCGTTAGTTCTTATGAGGAAATAATAGTGTGAAGTGCTTCAATTGGCGATGCGCAACTAAGTTTCTTTTCTAGTCGAAGGTCAATTTGAGGATTTGATTCCAAATATCTATGAGAACGAATTATTTTATTTATTTCTTTTATTCATTGGTATTCGTACGTTTCCTGATTTAATTGCGCTTATGCTTGTTATGTTATTTGAATGTCAAAGGCCCGATATTCGAATTAACCTAATTATTCAATTGATTAATACCAGTGGCGACTAGCGTGATTGGTTTTGATGCTAGGAAAATGTATGATCTAACTTAAATGAACCATCGTAGTGTGTTTGTTGGTTAGTATTGAGTTTTTCTAATTATTAATGCAATCGAGGAATTAAATCCTACGGTCGTACCTAGGGTTGTTTCTTGGTTAGAGAAATAGTCAACGGTCGTACCTTGACTATTGAAAAGGTAAGGAAAAACTGGTTGTTTATCGCGTGTGTATGACAACTATAACCAATCTAGTAATGAATAATTGAATTATCTTTGCATCGATGATCAGTTGAATGGACCGTATCTGAAAAGTTACACCTTTGTCTAGAGTCGTACTGGTTATTGATTAATTCATATTTATTTCTATAAGTTGTTTCATTAGTTAGTTAATTAGTTATTTGACATTTTCCAAAAACCCCCCATACTTCGGAATCTAAAAGAAATAAGCTATCCCCAATCCCTGTGGATTCAATCCTACTCACCGCTATATACAAAATCTGTATTTTTCTCAAATAGGTAAATATTATTGCACAGGCTCGACAACCTGTCAAATTTTTGGCATCGCTGCCGAAAATTAGTAGCAGTAGGACTCTTTCCTTTTATTGGCTTTTGGTAGCCATATGGGAAGAGGAATTTAGATAGGAAAGATTGGGCAGTCATTCTTGACTCCTTATTGCTCTTGGACTTTTTCGTCTTTTTGTGGCTCTCATTCCATCGTATGTCAGACACTTAGGTAGAAAACAATTAGCCATTCTTTTGACTGGGCAGTTCTTTTGCATTGTACTTAATTCCATCGACTTTTTCATCTCAATTTTGGAGGCAATGTATGCAACAAGTACTTCCGCAATTTTGCGTGGATTTTCCTCAACGGAGATGAACTA